TCGACAGATTCCCAACTGCCGTTCAACCCCACCATTGCTTTTAGTTCCATCCAGAAGCAACCCTTTCTTTCTCCTTTAGCCTCATGGGTTATCTCTCCAGACCCTCTCTATTTTCCTCTTAAGTTTCCCTCTGTGCTTTCCTCACAAGAATTACTACGTGAATAGGGTTTTCAACTCTAGCTGACATAAACCAAGCATATATATATATATACGGCTAAACCCTAAGTTGGATTATACAGTATATATATAATAGCTTCCACTAAACCCTAATTTTAAAACCCTTTAAATCATAAGTCGGCGACCCTAAGTTACATAAAGAATAAAACCCTAATATACACGACACACACAATTTAACAAACTAATCCACCTCAGCACTTATGTAAATAACACAATTAAATCAATTAAACTATCAAATAAAATACATCATTTAAAACCAACAAGGAAATTTAAGCACAAGTAAACAATTAACTAAAACCAATAAATAACTTCAATTAACCAATTAAATAAAATGAATTAAATAATTACAATGAACCAATTAATTTAAAATAAATTTACACTAAATCAACTAACCAAATAAACCACATAAGTCACACAAATAAACAAAAAATGCTATAAAAATCCAAATTAAATTCCCATTTTATCCTTTTGAAAACTATTGGTATTACAGAACACAGATCCGAGGGATACCAAACAATTAAGTATATAAACAAGCATTTGATTATAAAAGAAATAACTAAGAATAAATAAAATAGCAGAAAAGAAAACTAAATAATAAATCCCCCAAATGAAATATCCAAAACCTTTAATATCATTACAACTCGGGAATCCATCTGTGGACCCCTACTGATATCCCAACTGAAAACTGAAAGAAATATAATCCCAAAACTAAAACATAAAGAGAATCCTACGTAGAATCGGAAAAATGATGTGGACTATCTCTGCTCAGCCCGAATAAGCTCTATATCTGGAACTGACGAACATCTAAAAAATAATAATGGGTCAAGCTCACGAACAAGTTCTTTCTACTACAACCCAAATAGAGACCGGAGAAACTATATATCTATAGCTAACCCATGCAATAACTATATAGTCCATACTATATATACACACTAAAGGAACCTCATTAGACTATAGGGTTGCCTCAACCTGAATAGTAGGCAATATGCAAAACGCACATATAGTGGGCATGAATACCTAGTCCTACCAGGGCACACAACCACACTATATCTAGCTACACATCCCTGGTAATATACACACCCTATCTACTGATCCTGAGGCTCAAGCTCATATCATGGTATATGTATATATATATATATATATATATATATATATAATATTCTATCAAATCTAGAGTAATCCACTATGTATCATCCAACTTGTTCAGTTGATCTGACACGAATATAAGTAGGACTTAACATTTTAGTTAATCCATTCCCTTCTAAAATAGGTAGGACTTAATTGATAAGTTAATCCATCCCTAGAGTGCCACTATCCTATACTGGTGCACTACATCCACATAATCCAATATTTGATGTAACAATTAAAAAAGTACATCAAATAATCCAGAAATAACCATAATAATATACTATCATGTTATCACAAAATAGGACTGACTTATAATTTACTTAAGCTTCTTACATCACATATCCTACACAAATTGAATCTTAAATATACTGATACTTTACTATACAGTCAAGTAAGCATTTTCCAAATGCAATTCATGCTACACATTTAATCTTAATTGTTAGAACAAAATAAAGATTAAATCCGTTTATTCCTCAAAGAATCAAACAACATGCATTGTTATATTTAAGTTTGTTTAGAATTTATTTAAATTCATATCTAGTCCTTATTTGATGTTTAGGGCCCCTCAAATTCAATTAAAATTAATTCAATGCTGTTTACGAAACTTCCCCAGGTAAGGCTCGAGCTTTTGTCCTAATTGATCGAGCTTCCTGTTTCAAGCTCGAGCTTTTCACCCATGGCTTGAGCTTTGCCTCCAAGGCTCGAGCACTGTATCACCGAATCAAATACTGTTTACGCGATTCAACCCAGAATTCTATTGTGAACCCAATCTTTATTGTTTAAGGATTCTAAGGCATGTTTCTAGGTTCCATCAATACTCAGATATAAAAATACATTATTTAAAAATGTATAAACTCATAAAGAAATCAAATCAAATCATGAATTTATCAATTCATACAACAAGAACAACCATAAAAAAATTTAATTTATAAAACCTATATTTTAGATCAATTTAAATTATAAATTCCAATTTTAATTGTTCTTTAAATAATCCTAAGATTATACTAGAGATATAAATTTCACAGATCAAAGAGAAGTGTAGAACAAGAACCTGCCTTTAGGGATTCGATAAAAACCCTAGCCTCCTTCTTTTTCTTGCTATTCCTTGCTCTTCCTTCTTTCTTTCCATCTCTCTAAAATATATTACGTGATATATTTCTAGTCATCTTTTCAACCTTATAGTTATATATTTATAGGCTAAATAATAACCCTACTCCTTTTCCCAATCCACATCAAATTAATAAAGAAAACAATAAAATTAAAATACTAAAAAGATAACTAAAATATATGTTACATATAATCTATGTATATTCTTTTTTTTATATAAATAAAATAAATAAATAAATCAGATTATCACTAAAGGACTTTCCTTATATATACACACACATACACACACACACACACACACACATATACACTAATTATCCGTACCCATTAAAACCCTTATCCAAGTAGTCCATGGAACCCAATTGGTTGGCCTATGACTACTATCCATAACCATTAGAATAAAATAAAATAAAATAAAATAAAATAACCATTTTAAACATTTAATTCCTAACCATTAGTTACAAGAAAATACATAACATTTAAATAAACAAATAGACATTATCTAACACATAATTCAACTAAATAAGTATTTCAAATAAATACATAATCAATTAATTCATATAAACAATTAAACAAATAACCAAGAAATCAAATAAAGAATTAAAAACACAATTAAAACAATTAATAAAATACCGAGACTATACTTTTAAAATTAGGGGTATTACATATTATAATTCGGTTCGGGTTGGCTCGAGTTACTAGCACTTCAACCTAAGCCCAACCCTAATTAAATTCGGGTTGTGATTTTTCAACCCAAGCCCAACCCTAATTGTAAAAATAATTGCCCAAGCCCGTGAAAAATCAGGCTGGGCTCGGGTTACTTAACCCAAGTTACATCCCTACTACAAATCCAACACCACCATTGCTGCCATTGGTACTTTACCCCGATCTAACAATTTCGAGTAGAAATAGATTTGTATTTTTTTAATCAATTTGGTTTGGATTTGTTGTTGTAGTGGGTTTTTATTATTATTATTATTATTATTATTATTATTTTATCTGATAGTTTTTTTCCCCTCTAAGCAGCAACTAAAAAAGAAGACACACACACACACACATATATACACGAGATGAAAGATGGACAAAGGTTAAAATGAGAAAAAAGGTGTTGGGCCACATATCAATGATGGTAGTGATGCAAATGGAGGTGGTGATGTAAGGAGAAAGAGAAGGATAAAAATAGGTTTGCAGATAGGTTAGTTTAGAGAGAGAGTAAATGCAACCTAAAAAATCATAAAAACAAAATTAAAGTCAGCAACCAATAGACTGCTGACACATGATGCCATTATATATATATAGGGCAAAGTACAGAAAACCCCCCTCGACTTGTTGCATTTTTCAGTAAACCCCTCTCGTCTAATTTTTTATCAAAGAATCCTCCTCGACTTGTAGCCCTTTCCAATAAATCCCCCTTGTCTAATTTTTTACCAAATAACCCCCTTCAACTATCTAAGGGAGGTTAAAGAGTTAATATTTGGACCAAAATACTCTTTTATTTAAATATTAATTTTTCTGAACTTCAAAAATTCATATATCACAAACCGTACATCTAAATATTGCAAATAATATATGTACAGAAAGCTTATAAAACAAGGATTCCAGAAATGTAAGATTTGTTTAACAAAACTTCATAACCAAAGAGAAATAGATAATCTAAAAATCTATTGCAATAATCTTATTTTATTTTATTTTTTTTATAAAATACTGAGGTTATTTGTAAGAAAATTTTAAGAATTATTCATTTTCATATGGAGTATAACATATAAAAAAAATAGCGCCAATAGAGACCGAATATTTATTTTTATTTATTTTTAAATGGTGATTATTAAAAGAATGTAAATACTTTGACGCAAAATATGATATCTCATGAAATCAATCTCTGTTGAGGCTAAATTTTTTATATATTCGGCTCCATATGTAAATGAATAATTCTGAAAATTTTCTTACAAATATCTTGAGTATTTTATTTTTTAAAAATAAAATAAAATTGTCAGAGTAAATTTTTAGATTGCCTATTTCTCTCTGGTTATGAAGGTTTATTGTACAAACTTATATTTTTGAAATCCTTATTTCATAAACTTTTCGTGCACATATTATTTATAATTTTAAAATGTACGAGTTGTGAGATATGAATTTTTGAAGTTCAAGAAAATTAAGATTTAAATAAAAGGGCATTTTAGTCCAAATATCAACTCTTTTAGTTGAGGGGGTTCTTTGGTAAAAAAATAGATCAGGGGGGTTTATTAAAAAATGTTAACAAGTCGAGAGGGATTTTTTGTACTTTGCCCTATATATATATATAAATAATCATACTTCAAATCAGGGTAATTTAAAAATTTTAATTTATTCAATACATGACGTCAGTAAATTCTGTAATGACGTTGACTGTAACAAAAGGGAGATCCGTGTAGGATATTTTCATTATTAGGGGAGATCTGAATAAATTCTCAAACCACAAGGGAGGTCCGTGTAATTATGGCAAACTACAGGGGATGTTTTTGTAAATTACCCTACAATTGTGGTATATTCGTATTTAAAGGACTAAAATGCCCCTCGATTTTCTTCTTTGTCCAATTATTTTCTGACCTTAACACGCACACACTGTCTCGAACTCTCTTGAGGAAACGATTTCAAGTGAAGGTCTTCTTGCGCTGCGGGGCAAGATTTCACAGCGGCCGTCAAAAGGCAAGGCTCCAAACGAGTTGATAAAGTCTCTCTCCCTCTCTCTCTCCCTAAAACAGGGATCCAAAACCTAAATTCTAGACTTTGGAGTTTCGGAATTGTTCAGGTATATATACATATGTGTATATATATATATATCTTCTGTTTATGTATTTTTTTTTCTAACAAAAGGCAAAATCTTCTGCTATATATATATATGTAGATTAGATTTTATTTGTTACTTCGTGATTTTTAGTTATTTCGTTTGCGGCATATTGTTTTAGGTTTGGATTTTCGTTCTTTCGAGAGAGAAGTTTACAATGGCAGCAACAGCTACATACCCACCTCCACCACCATACTACAGGCTCTACAAGGATTACATTGAAAACCCTAAGTCGGCTCCAGAACCACCTCCTCCTATTGAAGGCACCTACGTCCTCTTTGGAGCCAACTACACTGTCAGATTTCCTCTCTCTCTATATATACATAAGAGACACATGTGAATATGTATATTGTAATTTATTTGGATATTTGAAAAAGGCTTGTTTATGCAAATTATCTTTCTTGAGCTTATGGTAGTATTATAAAGTTCCATGCTGAAGCTTGCATTGGATGCAACCTGATAATTTGTGGGGGATCTGTGGTTTATTTTCATTGAATTTGAATAATACGAGTTCTTAAATTGTAGGTTTTTGAATACCCAAAAATTTGAGATTACTTCGAGTTCGGCACATGGTTTATGTAAACTCATTACATTTAGGGCTAGTTTGGTGTGGTGGAATGAATTGGAATGGAATGGGAATGGAATGAAGTGGGAGTGATGATTCCCATTCCATGTTTGCAACCAAACATGGAATGGAATGTAAAAAAATAAAATAATAATTTTTATTTACTTGTTTGGTTGGACTAAAAATTAGAAACATGGAATGGAATGTAAAAAAATAAAATAATAATTTTTATTTACTTGTTTGGTTGGACTAAAAATTAGAATGGAATGAATTTATATTGTTTTACCTTTATCATGTTTTTTCCAAATTACTTTTATCATTAATAAAAAAAAAAAAATTAACTAAAAAATTAACATCAAATTATTTCCAATCCAGTGGTTAGAAAGGTATGTAAGAATGAAATTGGGGGCAATAGATAGAGAGAGAAAGTAGAGAGAAGGAAGAAACTGACGGATCCGATTTGATCGGCTGCGACGAACAGTGGTGATCCAAGCTCCGTTACAAACTTCAGTGCTTTTGGAATGATCCGATTTGGAAAGAATGGTGATCTGATTTGGAAAGAACGGTGATCTGATTTGGAAAGAATGGTGATCCGATTTACAAACTTCAGTGCGATCGAACAAGGGTGAGGACGGATCCGATTTGGAAAGAATGGTTTCAGCAATTCTTTCACAAAATCAATGAGAGAATCACGAAAAAGCTTGCTTTTGGGTCCTGTTCACTGTTTGCTTCACTCAGATCTACTTTTGATTTTTTATTGTGTCTTGGTCCATCACTTTGAAGTTCAAGATCAATATTATGTTTGTTAGACAATGGGTTGGGTTGGGTTTGATAGAGGAGATGATGACGCCGGCAGTGGGTTTGATGGATGAGATGATGATGCCAGCGGTGGGTTTGATGGAGGAGATGATGACGCCGGCCTTGGGTTTATAATTTGTTAGGTTTTATTTTTTAATATTTTTTTAGTTTGTATTTTTTTAATGTTGGAATGGAATGGTCATTCCTTTTGTGAAAAAGTGGAATGACTTTGATGGAATGATCATTCTCCAAGAATGTTGGAGTATGACGATTCCAAGTTTAAAATTGGACACCAAACACAAGAATGGAATAAAAATCATTCCATTCCACTTTCTTTGTATTCCATTCCACCACACCAAACTAGCCTTTAGTTTATGATTTCAGCAATAATTCTGAAATAATTTTGCATTAGATCAAAATTTGGAGATGAAATTGTCATTTGGAAAAGCCATGCACCTGAGTTAATTGTTAACAAGTCAATATTTTGAAATAATTAAGCTAATTATGGCTTGAATGGCTCCTCCTCGGATGTTGTTATAAATTCTGCATTTGTACCATTCTCTTCCACACCTATTGTTCTTGGAGATCTTTGGAAATACGATCCCTATCTACTGTTTCCCCATCAAGTTACATTCAAAGTGATTATCATTGTGCATTTAATTTAATAGTTCACCTTCCAATCCGTCTAGATGGAATTTTAGTGCAATAAATTTGTTTGCTAATCACCTGTCCTTGTTATTAGTCCGACATATTTCATTTTTTATCTTTGGCTAATATTCTTACATTTATGATGCAGACTGATGATCTTCTTCCAAGCTTAGAAGAACAGGGAGTTCGTCAATTATATCCGAAAGGACCAAATATTGGTATAACTACCTTCACATGGAAGTCTTTTAAGCTTTTTTGGTTGTTAGGTTACCTTCACAACTCTGGCAAAAAAAGAAGAAGAAAAATGAAACTATTTACTTTATTTCTCAATGTTCAAGTGATTATTCTTTATATGTGTCAACAAGTCTCTACTGGGAAACTACAGAAAATTTGATTTTTTTAGTAGAAAAAAGAATAGTTCAAAGTGGAGCCTGAACTTAATACAGAAGACTAAAATCAGATCAAAAGGCTTTTAATTTTGATTAGAAGCATCAGATAAATGTCCAAGAGGCTTCTAACCTCATTTTTGAAGAGGTTCCGTACATCTTCATGGGGAGTTAGGCCTGCGGGAGAGAATGGTTGAAATTTGTCATGACAGTTACGAGATTGTCTATGATGGTGTATGCAATGGTTAGAGAAGAATCTTACCTGTTTAAGCTTATTGAGGCCTCTCTCTGTTGTTTTGTTTCTTGGTTGTTTTCTGGTTAATACAACTTTACTTTGGAAAAAAAATCCAATGAGATGTCCTTTGTTTGAAAAGTCATGATATTTCGAGCACCTTCTTTTGGAAAACTACCTAAGGCCTATTAATCCACCTTTTTCCATTCACAATATGACTGAAAGAGCCTTAATCCAACCTCACCCCAAGCTCCTCTGATTAAGGCCAAGACTTAGTCGTCGTATTTGTTGTGTGAATCAGTTCGATATTCACTGCTCCATATTATCACAGAGTAAATTATCATAATTTTCCGTCATAGACTGTAATGACGTCTAATAACATTGTAATTTCTCCCAGATTTCAAGAACGAACTGAGGTCACTTAACAGAGAATTGCAGCTTAATATTTTGGAGCTTGCTGATGTTCTTGTAGAGCGACCATCACAATATGCAAGAAGAGTGGAAGACATATCTCTTATTTTCAAGAATATACATCACCTTCTAAATTCATTGCGGCCCCACCAGGTATGAATTTCTTGATTAATATTAACATCCTTATTTATTTGTTCATTTTGGAGAACCTGTCTCATTGCGTAGTTTATTTTCTTTAATTTATTTCTTCCTTGCTTTTTTCTCTGCTTCCTTTTCCCAGGCCAGAGCAACACTGATCCACATACTAGAACTTCAGATACAACGCCGTAAACAAGCCGTGGAGGATATTAAGAGGTATAGTTCTTTTCTTGTTGAGGTCTTCATAAAATTTGAAAATGAGGTCATTACACTGTCTGAGCATCTAAATGACCTTTTGCTTTTACATTTGACTTAAAGTTAGAATATTATTAACCAATGGTATGACGACCTTATTTTCTCATATGGGAGGTTCAGTGCATATTGCGTTTCTTGAGTTGGCTGTATGGGCTCTTACTTACCCAAAAAAGAGAGGGGAGGGGGGTGTTGTTTCCATTTTCTATCATCAGTTCGTTGATTTGAGTTAGGAGCCATTGCTTTGCAATAGTAAATTGCCGGGCTGCCAAGTTTGAGAAAGCAGGTTTGTATATCTGCCACTTGAGTAGCCTGCCTACTCCTTCCAGCACTCCATATTGGGTGGACCAAACTGGGTAGTGGCCTATAGTTTCATGAATTTTGATGCATGAGATGTTACTAATTCACAAGTTGAAGCGTGTTTTCTGATGTTAGATCTCAAATTTATTTGGATTGGTGAAAGTAATAAAAGCGTAATTATATGAAGGTGCAGGGCATTGCCATGTAATTGCTGTATTAGCTGACGAGCAGTTAATTAGTTTACCTCAAATTCAGTTATAGTACAAGCATTAAGCAAAGTTTAAACCATGGACTAGCGTGTTCATTGAATTATTTTTTACCTTTGCCTGTGTAGGAGGAGAGAAGAAGCACAGAGATTCCTCAAGGAGGCACTTGAAACCTTAGATGGGCACTAGAATGGAGCAGTGTGCTTATATCAAAATTGTTGGTTACTCTTTATGGTAGTCTTTGGAGCTGGCAAACCTGGAGATTTTTTTGTTGGATAAGAGCTGTGATAACCTTCTCAAAGGGCTTTGGATTAGTGCTGAGACCTTCTGTATATTATGTATCTATCCATGTGTAATTTTGGCAGACTGATACCAGAAATGGTGCATGAAGGTTACCTTACCTATTAAGTATGTGGGAAATCTTGATTCAATCAATTACTTGAAATTTCTTATTGATCTTATATTATTATTGTGGCCTTGGGTAAAATCTACAATGTTGTTGTAATAAATTGTTGATTTTGTAGAATGTGGTAGGACAACATGGATTGTTTTTATTTTTAAAAGCCTACATAACTTTCTAAGATTGTGAAGTCTGTCAGATGGATCGGAATTCACAAGTGTATATTGTCACCCAGTAATATCTGTCAATGCAGAATCCGTGAACCTTCGAGTCTTTGAACGGCCGAGGGCATGTATGTCTGGGCGATGAGAGGAAAAAGAAAAATACTTTGAAAAAATATATAAGATGTCAATGACATAATGGGACTAACACATGCACATTTGCTTTTCCATGAGCAATGATTTCTATGTATTCGCCTCTAGCATGCGTCCAAGCCCTTCGAATATGACTGTCAAAATTTTCTTTTGCATGAGCAATGATTTCATGTCAAAATATTGTCTAAAATATATATATATATATATATATATATATATATATATATATATTTTAGTGAGAAGTGTTAATTACAGTTGCACTCGTAATTGTCGCACTCTTAATTGAATCCTATAAATTTATAGGACAAAAATGTACTTTTAACACTTTTTTCTCTCCCCTTACTCGGATGGGGAAATATATATATATATATTCCTAAATTCTTCTTTTTTTTTTTTTTTTTTTTACTCGGATGGGGAAATATATATATATATATATATATATATACCTAAATTATATATATACCTAAATTTGTAGATTTTTGTCGTCTTTTTTGTATTGTCTCCATATATATTTGAGTTAATTACATAAATATCTCTTTAAGTTTGGTCAAAAATCACATTAAATTATTTTTTAAAAAATACTATCACTAACACCCACAAGTTACTTTTTCGTCCCTGACACCGTCAAAATGGGTGTGAAACGATATTTTTATCCTTATTTTTTAATCTAAAACATCATAATTGTATTGTAGACACTAAAATTTAGTGGGCTTTTGTTTTAAGAAATGGACCCATTAAATATGGGCATAATGTTTAATTAAGTTATTTAATTGGTTTTGGTTTGGTTCACTTAGATTATTTAATTAGCCCAGCCTAGATGATTAAATGAAAATATAATTATTACTAATAAAATATATTTGGAATAATTAATTTTAAGGATAATTATTATAATATAACCGGCCCGGCCCACTTATGATTTTTTTTTCTTTATCCTGAGATGACACGTGTCATCATCCTATTAATCCAAGAAGCCTATAAATACAGACCTGGAGGAAGAAGAAATGGGGACACAAATTCAGAGTTCAGAAATCCAGAAGGTCCAGAAATTGAGAGAATCATAAATCTAGTGGCCAGAAATTCTAAGGGCAAACCTGAAGGCGAAGAATACCAAGCACATCCGAAGTTGTGCCATTCTTTACCAAATTCAACAAATTTTCTCCTCTCTGAAGACGAAGAACAATAAGCACATCTGTTCTTCCTCAAATTCAACAAAAGACACAAATTCAGAATTCAGAAGTCCAGAAATTCAGACAAAAAAATTCTGAATTCAAAAATCCAGAATTGCAGAGAGAAATACAGAAGCTCTCATCCTCAACATCCAAACCCAAAGGCGAAGAATACTAAGCACATTAAATCGTGTCGGTCTTCATCAAATTCTGCGGTGATCAACAACAACCACATCAAATCGTGCTGTTCCTCATCCAAATTCCACGGCGATTCAAGAACAAACTCGTGCAGCCCTTCGATTCAACCAACAACAAAAAGAAGATCGAATCAGAGGACCATTCTTTTTTGTAAAGATAAATACAAAGGATTGTACTCCAATATTTCTAATTTAATAAAATATTCTATTTGCTCCATATTTTGTTTTATTTGCAGAGAACAAAATTTGTATGTACATGTATAAAGAGAAAATTATCCCCATCAATTATCCAACACCAACACCCTCACTTAATATATATATCATAATTATATACAAATATAAAGAATTAGTGTGCATTCAGAATTAAGCTATCTATTTTTTGGATTTTACTTATCTAATTTCTGAATTTTGTTGAATTTCTTGTATATATATATATCTATAGAGGTCACTTAATATGAGCCCAATGGGAAATGGAATGTTGTTTTATACATTAAACAATCTTTAGCAAGTCAACAAAAAAATTAATGGGGGTTATAATATCTTTTTATCCGTAAAAAGTAGTCTGACCCATTTAATCTTGAAGTGCGAATGGAAACAAAACAAACATTTGTAATATAAGTAAGAATTATTTTAAAAAATGTTTTAATATAATATTTGGCCAAATCAAAAGAGATATTAGTGTAATTAAATAAGTAAAACATGGAAACAAAATGATTACACTGATCAAAACTTTCTTAAGAAAAATCTCAAATAATTTGTTAGATGGATTGATTAGGGTGAAGTCTTGGTTGATAGTCATCCCAGTCTTACGACAATCATCATCTTTACTCGTAGTAAAAGGCTATCAAAAGAGAACCACTTTTTGCTACATATAAAGTTGAACAAAGGGTATCTATCTTTAAATCATGATCTTGCCACGAGAAGGAGAGTAGTTGGAGTTTATAGCTTGCAGACAAAGGGGCATTAATGCAAAGCTTTTCAGATAAATATTGAATGAGGTTGGTGAAGTAAGAGGAAATGATCTCTCTCTCTCTCTCTAATTGAAACACTCATTCAATTCAAAAAGCTGACAACAAACAGTATTTAAATCATGACGGCAAGTTTGTTGATTTGCAGTTATGAGTTTTTGATATCTACATGCAACTACATGCTGCTGTATCTAACCAAAAAGTTGGACTTGAATGCTATTCCATCTTTTTAAAGATGGATCCCTCTTGATGCCACATCATTGACATGCGTATTGCATCATATTGTTGTAATATATATACACACACACACACATATATACACACGGAACACGGCACTTAAACTTCAATTTTTATTTAATTGGTTGAGAAAATGCATAATTGCTAAATTGAGAAGAGTGGAGCGTGAATAAACATCCATTTGCCAAACATATATTATATATATGGAGAGAGAGCCAGAGAGAGGCCTCATTTCTTGGATTATTACTCAAATTTGTGTTTTTTAACATATATATATATATTTGGCAAGGAAATGTAGCAAAGTAGGATCCAATCTCCTAAGATAAGTTGCTAAAATTAGACTTATTTGTACTTGCTTTTGAATATTTTTCCTAGATAGTTATTTCTACAACTTACCATCATCAATTGGAAGATCCTTTGATTCAATTTTCTTTTTTTTTTTTTTTAGGATTTGTGCATAAATTTTATTCCAAGCTGTCCCCGTCACCGAACTGTAGAAAATGACGAAAGAACATCAACCACCTTTCCCCACAAACACACACACGCACCCCCACCCAACTGTAGAAAATGACGACAGAACATCAACCACCTTTCCCCACAAACACACACACATACAAAACTCATAAATGATGCGTAAAACATGAGGTAGGATAAGCAGAAATATGTCGAAATAAATTGAAATTGATACATATATGTATTTAAGTAAACCACCTAAGCATTTCTTTCTTGTACATCTTCAGAGTAGTCATTTCTTTAAATACTACTACATTTCTTTGTTTCACTGTTGGATTGGTTAATTGGCAGAGGACATGGACACACTGTGTGAGTGTGGAGGAGGACTTGTTGATGCTCTGAACACTAAGATCTATGGAAATGGCACTCAAACTATAGTTCTCTCTCATGGGTTTGGTACAGACCAGACTGTTTGGCAATACCTAGTCCCTTTCCTTGCATACTACTTCAAAGTCGTAGTTTTCGACCTAGTCTTCTCACCAAATGTTGATCCTAACCTCTATGATCCTAAAAAGTACTCGAGTTTCGATTTCTATGCGCAAGACTTGATTTGCATTCTTGATCAGCTCAGTGTGAAGAAGAGTATTTATGTAGGTCACTCGATGTCTGCCATGATTGGATTCAAAGCTGCAATAAGACGACCAGAACTCTTTGAGCATCTAGTCCTCCTAAGTGGCTCTCCAAGGTGGTTCCTCTCTCTCTCTCTCTCTCTCACACACACACACAAACACACACAACAAAAGGTTACCATGCAGCCTAATCTAATGCCTTCAATCTATCATGTGTCTTTCCCGCTATTGTTTAGGTACCTCAATGAAAAGGGATATAATGGGGGCTTCAGGAGATCAGATCTCAACAGTATCTTCAAAGATATGCATCAAAACTTTACAGGATGGGTTCAAAGTTTCGCTCCAAGAGCTATTAGTGTGAACAACATTACTGCTATAGCCAAGTTTGAACGCAGCCTAGGCAGAATGCAACCCGAGATAGCGCTCAGTGTTGCCAAAACCGTGTTCCTAAGCGATCTAAGAACAGTTTTACCACAGGTTCGAGTTCCTTCCACCATTATCCAGTCCGAAAAGGATATCATTGTTCCAAAATCTGTTGCATTCTACATGAAGAGGAAGCTTGGTGGGCGTGCTAGGGTCAAAATTCTGAAAACACAAGGCCACTTTCCTCAGCTCACAGCTTATCCTTTGCTCTCGCATGTTTTGAAGAGAGTTCTTTGCACTAGTGAGTAGTTTATAGTAAGGGAAAAAAAGAATGTAGTATGTGTTGATTTCTGCTCTCCAACCTCCCTAGTCTTTACTCATCTAATTTGTGTGGGGGTGAAAGGTGGTTTAATGGTAAAGAATTAAGATGAGATAGACAGGGCAGAAACCACCAATAATCATAAGCTTTCTTTTGGCACTTGTGTATGGCAAACAGTGACATGTAAAAATAATTTATTTCTTATTTCACCTAAATTCTCATGAAATGAAGGGGGTGAGGTTGAAAAAATGCAACTCTTGGATAGAATAGCTGCCTCTTGCTTAACAAAAGGATTAGACTTGATGAAACTTTCTACAAAATAAAATAATATTTGTATGCAAAATTTGATGGTTGCTGGCGGTATGAGAGGAGGGCCGTGACACGCACTACATTAGGGGAAGAGAGCTCAGTATGGCAAAGTCCAAGGACCATCCTATTTGTCCCTGTAGCAAGACTACTAAACCATCCGTATCAGGTTATAGTAACAACTTTTTATCACTCAAACCATTCGAAAGGATAAGGCAGCAGAAAAGCGAATTGTGAACTTCAAATTGCCATCCAGTTAGCAGCTAATGTTTTTTACCAATCCAAATGCCAACTTAAATCAATGGACCGATGATGCATAGATAAACAGCAACCACTAATAAACTCATGGCAGATAGGTAATGGAACTGATAAAACAGGTGATAGAAACCGAAGAATACACCGCGCTCTATAATTTAATCAGTGATAGTCAAGACATTTATTTTGTCAATGCCTACAACGTATCTTTTGCCCTTGTTTCAAGATCTATTGCCCAACAAATTGCCGCAAAAAATTCTTCTTTCTACTCTACACTCCCTCACACTGGTGAATTTAACCAGAAAATCGGCAGATACAATGCCAAGCAACAGTGATAAACAGAATCCAAAGGGAATAGTGTAATGATAAGACCACAAAGATATCTTGAGAGTTCGAATTCCCTTGGAACCACAAATTATGTAAGTAGTATTGCATGTCTAGTATGAAACAAAACTGCAGTCACCACATTTGGATCCTCTTGGCGTGATTTTTTTTTTTTAGTGGAATGGATGTTCCGTGCAGTTCAATCAAAGATATCTTGAGCACATTCGGATTCTGTTGATAGAGCAAACGACTTTATATGACAAACATCCAAATCCAGTTTGTCTTGAACGCTGAAACAGAAATTCCTTCAAACATCAGTACAAGTATTAAGCAAGTGTGCTCTCAACATATTCCATTGCCTTCCTCTTCACATAATCAATCCGTTCATCTTCACCAAGAGACTTCTCATAATCGAGATACCTTTTGAAGAGGGCCTGCGCATTGAGAAAACAAAGCACTTGTGTGAAGGCCTAACAGCAAGAAAATAGACATGGTTCGGTAGAAAGGAAGAGGAGGGAAAGATCAAGGAATTGTATGCACCTTCATCTTTTTAGGAGCAAGGCTCAAACTTATGGCCCTCTCGAATAATGCACGAATCACATCCACATCACCAAGTCGAATTTCCTGCCATATTTCAGAAAATTTGTAACGTATATATATGGTTAAACAGTTCATTAAATCTTAAACAGCAAAAAGGACTTTTACTTGATCAAGATAAATACGCCACAAGTCTGTTTTTTTGGGGTATTCGCGAAGCATTCCCTCAAACATGGATCGGCCTCTATCAGGAACCCCATTCTTGTACTCAAGGATAGCTGAATGTGAAATGAACTTGATATGCTTATGGCGGGGAAGGCTTAGAACAGCACGATTTCGAACAAGCTCAACTCGATCTGGGTTATGCTCCAGGACATTCTGATACCGCCTTAACCACACCTATAATTTTAAAGATTGTAAAGCTTGATATCTCCATTTGAAACCAAACAGAAAAAGAAAAAAGAATGGTAATCATACAATACCTTGCGTGAATGCTTGAACTTCTTGACCATTTTCTCAAGAAGTTCATCAGACAACTTGTGCCACTTGGTCCTTTCATATACTCCAAGCAATGCCAGATGCACCTTTTTGGGATCACAATACTGCAAAGCTCTTTGAAATACCCTCACAACAGCCTCCTAAAGAGAAGAATTTAAAATAACAATACGTAGAAACTATAAGAATGACTGCAGTAGTGAGAAAGCAATCTAAGGGGTAAAACAACTTTTTTACCTCTGGAGGATTTCCATATTCACTCTCTAAATTAAAATAAGCAACCCATACATTCAGCTTCTCCGATTCTTCTCGGAAGTTAATTGTTTTCAAAGCCCTTCAAAATAGAATAAAAACAGTGGAATTAAAGTAGTAAATGACATGCAGTTCAAAGTGAGGCATTTCTAGATACATGTATCTGTTATGACAAACCCAAGAATAATTCAAGAAACACAACAAAAAGTAATTACACCACACACAAAGAACACTAAGATTTAGAGTGATTCGGCAAAGCCTACATCCACGATGGAGATCTGGCAAAAGTCTTCACTATGAGAAAAATATGAGATTACAAGTTTCAACCCCTCACTCTCTTTTTCTGCTATTTTCAGTGTCTCTCTAACTCCAAACCCTAAACGCCCTTATATATTGGGCTACAAGAGAGTATTAATTAGGGTCCACGACCCACAAGCAAAAAGGGGTCGCCAGGTCGCAAACGGGACTCAATGCGACCTGGCACCAAATTCAGGCTACAACATCACAATATATTTTATAAGTGGCACTTTGTTATTGTTCAACAAAAGCTACTTGTTTAATGGATAAGGAGGCAAGAGTGGGTGGGTGTTGGGTTGTGAGTTTAACTTACCTACCCAAAAAAGAAAAAGAAACCCCCCCCCCCCCCCCCCCCCCCCCAACACACACACACACACAAAAAAAAAAACTGTTGTCAGGGGCTTATTTGTTATTACTTATATAATGTTGGGGCTTATGTGTAATTTTTGAAACTTGTTATTATAAATAGAATGTGGTGGAAGGATGGAAGTATTCTTTCATTTTTTCTCTCTTTCCCCATCTCTTTCTATTTTTCTCTCATTCGCTTTTTTCTCTTTTTCTTCTTCTTTATCACTTACTTCTGATTATATCTTAAAGTCAACATGGTATCAGAGCATGATTTGTAAAGCTCTAGGTTTGTAGTTGAAACCCTAGCAGTCTCGATCGGTGTTTTTTTGTGTTTGTGGGGTTCTGCAATAGCGATTTTTTCTTCGTCGTTCGCGATTCTAGTATGGTCTACTTTGTTACTTTCTAGGGTTTGTGTGGTGACTGTGTGGTCGTTTTTTTATGCATCTCAGAAGGCGGTAATCTTTTTAGTTGAAATTTGTGTGTTAGAGAGGTGGTTCTCTACGTATTTTGCTGCTGTTTTTGCTTCTGAGGATTATATACCCAAAAATTGTTTGATAAAATGTCTGGCTTAAAGGTGACTTCTAAAGAAGCTGGGTCTTCTCCTAGTCTGACTCCAGTATTGGGAGGTAGTAGTGATCACCATCCAGGCCTTTGTATTACGACTATTAGGTTGGATGAGACAAACTGTATGGAGTGGGCTCAATCTGCTCGTATGTATATCACTGGTCGTAGGATGATCGACCATATCGAAGGGACTGTCACGTATCCCTCCAAGAGTGATCCTGTATTCAAAGAGTGAAGTGCTAATAATGCACTAGTTATGACGTGGTTGTTCAATCCATGCAGCCACAGATCAGCAAAGGGTTTTTGTTTGTGAAAACAGCTAAAGAGCCATGTACAACTATGGAAGAGACGTATTCCTCGGTTGGTAATTTTGCAAAACTGTATGAACTCCAACAACAAATTTCAAGATTCAAGCAGGAAGACCAAACTCTTGCTATATATTACCACACTCTACGTGGTAAATAGGAAGAGTTAGATCACTACCAAGACTACATACCTGTGTGTGTAGCTGATGTTAAAGCATTTCACGCTATGGTAGAAAGGAATCGATTCTATGAGTTCTTGAGTGGTTTGCATCCGAGATACGAGTATGCCAGGGTACAAGTGTTAGGCAGGTATCTAACCCCTACTTCTGTTAGAGATGTGTTTTCATATATCCAGGCTAAGGAGAGCATAATGAAGGCTATGTCTGCACCTGCATACACTAAGCCTGAGCCAGAAGTACCATTGTCTGAGAGGTCTGCTCTTGCCACATAACAATGGAACAAGCCCAATCCTCCAAAAGGAGGGAAACATGATGACAAAAGCAAGCTGAGGTGTGATCACTGTGAGCGTACGCGCAACACTAGGGAAACATGTTGGAATCTACACGGTCGCCCTACTCCAGCTCCAGTTAGGGGGTTATCTACGGCACATACTGCAGAGCGTGAGACTGCTTCTGCTGGTCATGCCTCCTCAGGGCCACTGAGTTCTTTGTTCGAGGCTGAACTTGATGCTCTCTGACATCTACAAGCACAACATTCCACTGTTTCCACCTCTAACTTCGCTTAGACAAGTACCTCTCATTCTGCACATCAGGTTTCCACATTATCTGGTGGACCACCCTGGATAATTGATTCAGGAGCCACTAATCACATGACTAGTATGGCATATGATTTTTCTTCGTACAATTTATGTTTTGGTAAGGATAAGGTTAGAGTGGTTGATAGCAGCTTCACCTCCATTGCAGGGAAAGGCATTGTTTCTGCCTCTCCTAATCTTACCTTATCTTGTGTTCTTAATGTTCCAAAGTTTACCAATAACCTCCTTTCTGTCAGTCACATTACAAAATGCTCGAATTGTAGTGTAACCTTTTTTTCCATCTCATTGTGTGTTTCAGGACTTGGACACAGGGAAGACGATTGGAAGTGGACGTGAGGACAATGGCTTGTATTTGTTGAACGCGAGGCAAACTTCTTATTATGTTGCAAATCAATCTAGTGTTAGGATAGTAATGTTAATAAAGATCTGTTAATGCGATGGCATAATAGACTAGTCTTTATGCCTGAAATCACCCATCCCAACTTATTGTTAAAAGATAATATTCACTCACACTAACTTTGTCATAAAAAAAAATAATAATAATACCAGTAAGTTCCTGAGTTGATCCCTCCAAATGAACTCCATTTTTAGTTTCTTTTGCATCAATAGAACCCAGATCAGGTCATTTACCTCTTCCTGTTTTGAAGCACGTGCTTCTCCAGTTTGCTTCTGTTAAATCTTTTGAGTTAAATTGTGAAACATGCGTTCTTGCCAAACAATGTCGTGTTTCTTATCCTACTAGTATAAATAAAAATACAGCTCCTTTGCAGCTTGTTCATTCTGATGTTTGGGGTCCTGAATCTACTACTTTGTTACTTGATTTTCGTTACTTCGTTGTGTTCATTGATGACTTTAGTCGATATACTTGGCTTTATCTTATGAAAACCAAAGATGAAGTTTATTCCATTTTTAAAACCTTTCATAGGATGGTACGTACTCAGTTTGGTTGTCCCCTCAAAATCCTTCGATCGGATAATGGGAGAGAGTTTATGTATGGTGGTCTTGCCTCCTTTTTTGCTAATAACAGGATTGTCCATCAAACATCTTGCGTCGATACACCAAAATAGAACGGTGTAGCTGAAAGAAAACACCGTCATATTACGGAGGTGACCCTTCTCTTCTAATTGGGATGGAGTGCCTAAAAGTTATTAGGCTAGCTGATGCAACCTTAACAGCTACATACCTTATCAATCGCATGCCTTCTAAGGTTCTTGGCTATCAATTCCCCTTCTCTGTCTTACACCATGATACTGCCTTGTTTACTGTCCCTCTGAAAGTATTTGGTTGTGTTTTTTATGTTCACATTCATCATCGCAAGGACAAAATGGACCCTAAGGCAACCTGATGTGTCTTTCTTGGATACTCCGCCACTTAGAAAGTGTATCAATGTTATAACCCTACCACTCGTCGTCGCTTTGTCTCCATGAATGTTACTTCTTGAGAATCTGTTTCCCATTCAGAGGGAATGCACCCTTCCTTTGCCTGTTCCCATTCAGGGGGAGCTTGTTACTGAGGTGCCTATGTCTAGTCCTCTTAAAACTAATGATTTGTAGCAGGGAAAACAGCCAATTATTTACACTAGGAAGGCAAAACAAGTTATTGATTCACCCCAGGACCAAGAAGTCTCCCTCGATCCAGGTAATTCCTTAGTTGACATTGACACTCCTGATTCTTTTCCCAATAGCATTCCTGTTGATCTTGATGTCCCTATTGCCTATCGTAAGTGTGTTCGTAGTTGTACAAAGCATCCCATATCTCAGTTTGTATCCTATGATGCCTTATCTCCAACATATCGTGCTTTCACTTCGTGTATCTCCTCTGTATCTATTCCTTCTAGTGTTTCAGATGCTCTCAGTCAAACTCCCTGGAAGAAAGCTATGCTTGAAGAAATGAAGGCCCTTGAGAAGAATGGTACATGGGATATTGTTCCATTACCTAGGGGTAAGAAACCAGTAGGCTGCAAATGGGTCTACACAACAAAGTATCATGCAGACGGAACAATTGAGAGATATAAAGCTCGGTTAGTTGCAAAGGGCTTCACTCAAACCTATGGAATTGATTATCTGGAAACATTTGCTCCAGTTGCCAAGATGAACTCTATACGTGTTCTTCTTTCTTTGGCAACTAATTTGAATTGGCCCTTACACCAACTGGATGTAAAGAATGCTTTCCTTCATGGTGACTTGGAGGAAGAGGTGTATATGACTATGCCACCAGGGTTTAAGCTTGCTAATAGTCAGAATTTCATGTGCAAGCAAAATAAAGCTTTGTATGGGTTAAAGTAGTCGCAACGTGCTTGGTTTGAGAGGTTCATCACTGCTGTGAAAAGAGTAGGGTACACACAGAGTCAGGCAGATCATACTCTCTTTATCAAGAAGCACCGAGGCTGCAACACTGCCCTTATTGTATATGTTTATGATATCTTTATAACTGTAAATGATCCAGAAGAGATTTGTCGAATGATATCATTCTTGGGGACAGAGTTCAAGGTTAAAGACCTCGGATCATTGAGATACTTTCTTGGCATCGAGGTGTGCAAATCGAAGAAAGGGGTGTTTATTTCTCAAAGGAAGTATGTGTTAGATTTGTTGGCTGAAACAGGCAGGCTTAGAGCTAGACCGATTGATATTCCCATTGAGCAGAACCATAAGCTTAATGATGTAAATGGAGACCCATTAGATGATGTGGGAAGATTTCAACGATTGGTTGGGAGACTAATTTACTTATCTCTCACGCGCTCGGATATTGCCTACGCTGTTAGTGGTTAGTCAGTTTATGCATGCTCCACGTACA